ATAAAGCCATCGAACAAGCTCATGCTGAGCAAGCCGAAGCTCTCAAGGACGTAGAAGGCATCGCTCTGACGACCGTCATTCAGCCTATGTCGTCACTAGCCATGAGAGAGTCGCTCAAAAATGGCGGAAGTCCTCTAGGTTTGGAGCCTGTTGGGCAGCAGTGTACGTATACCCACAAGGAAGAAGATGCATTACGTTTCCTCCTAGTAACTAATACATTTATTCTCGCGGTACAGGGTTCCTCGCCCGAGCAGACTGGAAGAACATCCGAGATGAGGAACGGGTGCGCGAGGCAGTGCGCAAGATCGTGGATGCGGCAGAATCTGCGGCAAAACGGACGGATGTGTATCTCCCGTACAAGTATTCAAACTATGCGGCGTGGGACCAGGATCCGTTGGCGAGTTATGGTGCGGAGAACGTAAGACGATTGAAGGAGGTGGCGAGGAAGTATGATCCCGAGGGGGTCTTTCAGACATTGCAGAATGGGGGTTGGTTGTTGAGTAGGGTTGGAATGGAGTAACTAGATAGGGGTCATGAATAGACAGGTAGGTGGGTAGATGATAGACTGTACATACGTAGGTAGACACAGAGGTGTACCAGAGACAGTGGTCTCCATAGCGATGTGGCTCAGAAAGTTTGGCTCAGAAGTTGCCGGAGCTCGGATCTAAGACATGCATTGGCCCCAGGCATGGGTCACACTACTCTGTAGCAAACAATTGTCATTCATAACAATTCATTCAGGGTCGCATAAAATTATAATGACATGGTCGCAACGTGACACATGAGACATCAGGCGGATGCATGAGTCGTATAGGAAAGGCATTGACAAAAAGTGAGAGATGAAACAGGATAGAGGCTGTTGTGCCGGATGCATAGACCGTACCGGACGGGAGAGGCTGAAGAGAAAACAGAAGACAAAGGAAATAGAGGAACAAAGGAACAAAGGAAAAAAGAAGATTGAGGATATCAAGAAAAACCATCAATGAAAAAGAACCCCAGCCATGATACCGTTATCCATGCACGCTCAACATAAACAAAGGAATTCAGAACCCAATGACGCTCGTAACACCGCTAATAGACCGTTGCCCCAAAGGGTGCTGTTTCTTTCAAGTCCTCGACAAGATCCTCCACGTTGTTCAAATACCGGCCCAATAATGCTTGCTTCTCGTCAGTCGTACGTGTATCCCGATGCGCCTTTCCGCCACCGTGGGCACCGGGGACATTAACACTCCGGGAGACCGGGGAAACACCAAGTTTACTTGGACTCCGTTGATGTCCAAGGACTGCCGTGTTGGGCGCACTAGCTGCACTAGTGGGGATCATCGGTGTTTCCGGCATCAGATAGAAATACAGGAATTCGACGAGTTTGAGCTTGACTTCACGAGATGTTGCACGTTGCTTGAAAAGCGAGGTCACCGTAAGCAGTCCGTCAAGTTCCTCGAACGTGCGCGTGTTGGCGGGGTGGTCCAATAGAGCCGTGACCAAGGTGAGAAGGGTCGCAGATTGGATTGCGGGGCAGTTGATTGGATCGAGGAGGTCCAGCAGTAGGTTCATGTAGATTTCGCGCGCGAACAGTGTGCGCGATGGAGGGTGGAGGAGGAGCACACCCTGTATCAGATCGAGTGTGGAGACGATGAGAAGGTCATTGGTGCCATTGCTCCCCCGCCCAAGCAGGTGTTCGAGACATGTCACCAAACGCATTGCGACTGGTTGCAGTGCATTAGTGTTGGAAACTCACATAATCGCGAGTCGGCGGATAGCGACACTTACCATTCCATTGAAACCCCTCCTGAAGTTTGAAAAATTCCCTGAAGGCCGGATCATCTCGAAGCTCGGCCAAAGACTTGGGCACCGGTTGCGGAGCCCCAAACGACAAAAGGGAACGCCGTTTGTCAGACGCCGGGCGTTTCGTCTTGGATAAACAAATCTGTGCGAGGAGCCCTTCGACCTGCCGCAGCCCTTTGCGAACTTTGCTTGGTTCGTAAGAGGAAAGGTAGTCGAACGAGTGTGCCAGCAAAGCCTCCATGAGTAATACAAGGGCAGAGATGATGAGTAGCACGGCTATTTCCAGGAATAACAGGGAAATAAGGAACTAGGTTGCAGGTGAAAGAAAACGGGGGTGAAAAAGAAAAAGACGGGCCGTGATCTGTCAGTCGCAAAGGACCCTGGGCCAAGAGATACGGCGCTATCTATATGTAGTACCTTAACTTAGAGAGAGGAGCCAGAAAAATAATCGAAGACGGCTGAGCCCAGGCGCTTGGAGAATTGGGGGCCTTAATTAAAGGCTACAATGATTGGTGAGCGATAGTCGGTGGGCTCGATCAACTAGCGAAGAAATAGTTGTTGTCATCGTGTGAAGCTGATCGAGCCGATTTAGTGACTGCAGCTCCCCCACATCCGACACAAACACCCGATGGTTGTCCCGGAGACGCACGATCGTGTTCCAATAGGCGTGCTACATTCGACGCCATGAAGAACAGGATCTCCTTGATAGCCTTCAGCTAATGATGTCAAGAACGGGGATCCATTTTTCAGCTACGCCACCAAGTCAATCCCTGGCCAAGATAAAGGCCTGATGGTTATAATGCCGTCACCCGTTGGGTTGCAAGAGTTTCTTGAAGAAGTCGGTCAGTATGAGAACCAACACGGAAGCAGTCTCCAGAGCGTGGAATGGGGTGTTTACAGGCCCACCGACCGTGCCCACGACAACTACTAGTACTTGCTGCTCGTGGCTGGTGCAACCACTCAAACGTCACCACCCCTTGCAGGCGGTAGAATTAAAAATTCCGTCACACTCGTCACACTGGGAATCACACGGGGAGGGGGAGCTTGGTGTAACTTTAGTAAAGAGAGGGGAGGTGAGGGAGCGAGCATTCCAAGCTGTCACCGGATCGGAGTTTCCCAGTTTCGCCGACATGTGAGTCATGTGACCTCAACAGGAGAAAGCAACGGCAATGCATGTGATGCTTCTCGTCATTTGGCCGCTTTCCCCGCAGCAGAAGCTCTCTTGAGAGAGCCTTGTGCAGCCTGCAATATACCCTTTCAAGTTGGTTACTTTTGCCTTCATTCTTATCGGACACGGACCTTATTTATTGCGGCTGTGCCCTTCTTCTTCTTCATTACCTGTAAGATGGGCTTGCTCACTCCTCCCCTTTCTCACGGTTGCCTGGCTGTTACAGCATTGCCCGCTCGCCAAAAACCTCCCCCTCTCTGTTCGTGACAAGACCTAGCAATCATCCGTAAAACACGCAAGCGATTAACATTCAGACAATGTCTACAGGACCGTTTCCTGAAATCTCTGCTAGCGAGCCTCCACACCCCGAATCGTGTTTTCTCGCAGGTAGTTCAATTGACGGCACAGGCACAGCTAGCCTGGGGAAGCCAGATCTCCTGGTGAGTCCGGCCATGGATCACGCAGGCCCAAACGATGATGGGCTCGCCACAAACACGAACCACTCGCGCATGCACAATCGTAATCGCTCCAGCGTCGATGGAACCAAATACAAGGATGGACAATGGTCGCCTGAAAATGAGAGAATAGTTATGGGGCCGTATGACTATATGCTACAGCATCCCGGCAAGGACATACGGCGACAGCTTATCAACGCCTTTAATGTGTGGTTGAAGGTACCTCCGGAGAGCCTTTCAATCATCACAAAGGTGGTGGCCATGCTTCATACTGCATCGTTACTGTAAGCTCTCTACATTATGCCTCGGTTTAGTCTGGACACCTACCTGACCTATGGCGTATGAGCCAGGATCGATGATGTCGAAGATAACTCCATTTTACGAAGAGGTATCCCAGTAGCCCATAACATATACGGCACCGCGCAGACCATCAACTCTGCGAATTATGTATATTTCCTCGCTCTGCAAGAAGTGCAGAAGTTGAACAACCCCGCTGCGATCGACATCTACGTTCAAGAGTTGTTGAACCTACACCGCGGTCAAGGAATGGATCTATTCTGGCGAGACACTTTGACTTGCCCCAGCGAGGACGAATATTTGGAGATGGTCGGCAACAAAACTGGCGGACTGTTCCGACTTGCAGTGAAATTGATGCAGGCCGAAAGTAGCTCCGGCAAGGACTGCGTGAGCCTCGTCAATGTCATGGGGCTGATATTCCAAATCTGCGACGACTACCTAAACCTATCCAACACTACCTACACCAAGAACAAAGGTCTTTGTGAAGACCTCACGGAGGGAAAGTTCTCCTTTCCCATCATCCATAGTATTCGCTCCAATCCCGGCAACCATCAGCTCCTCAGCATTCTCAAGCAAAAGACGAAAGATGATGAAGTCAAGCTGTATGCAGTCAGTTACATGGAAAGCACTGGCAGTTTCGCGCACACGCGGGACGTGGTCCGAGAATTGCGAGCCAAAGCACTGACCCTAATCCAAGCGATCGATGGTGATCAAGCAGATGGACGTGAGGACGGCGCCATGGTCCGGGCGATCCTCAACAAGATCACCGAATCGACACTGGGGGAGTGTGGTCCCCAGTAAGTTACGCGGACGATGATCAAGCGTCCATGCTCGGAGGTTATTCGCCGCCATCCCTGGTTGGTTGGTTGGTGGATTGCATGGGACCCTCGTATTTATGCAAGATGTTAAATCGTGATACCTTTTAGCCTATTGATCAGATTGTCTTATGATCTGAAACATTCACTCATGGCGACTCTTAATACGAACTTTGATTCTCTTTCTTGCTTCTTTTCTTCATGTCTTCTAGCCCGTAACAGAAAGAAACCAGAACATGTTAAATCACCATCTAGATAGTACTGAATCCAATACACAGCACCGGGGTATATGTAGTCTTCCGCCAAATGCCCAATTGCGCGAGAAGTCCAATGATCGGTCGTGTCTGCCCAGCCCACGCACCCTTCTCTGTCTATACCAATCACACATCAGATCGTATCATATATAGGCCAAAAAAGATACTCTTTTGCCCAAACAATATTATGTCTCCGAACGCCCCCCTCATTCTTTCATATCCCTCTTCACATGACCACGCAGCAAGCCTTCTCCAGCTTATTGAGAATCTTAGGCAGAACCGCATTGACCACCTGCTCGATCTCATCCTGGTTACCCGCACCCTGTTGCTGCTGCTGCTGCTGAGAACCAGAATACTGCTGCTGTTGCGAACCGGGATATTGCTGCTGTTGCTGTTGATGCGGGTGAGCATAGGTGCCCGACGAATGCTGCTGCTGCTGCTGAGGGTATTGCTGATAGTGAGGATGATTGGGCGTAGGCGCAGTCTCCATATCCGCCGGTCCACCAGTCAGATTGACATAAATGCGCCCAGCGTTTTCCTCAGTCGCGTACTGAAGACCAAGTTCCTGACAGACTTGCTCTACTCGGGGCTTGATTTTCTGGATATGATTGGCGGAGTGGTTTCCTTTGCCGACGATCCTATTGAGTGGGAGAAAGTTCTGCGATTAGCGATTTGTGTGGAGGGTAAGGAACAAGCCGGTGTAGTGTGTAACGTGAAAGGGAAGCTTACACATGGAGATGATCCTGACCGTGCGCTTTCGCATACTTGATCCTCTCCTCGAGGATCTCCTCCGCCTCTTCGACGAATTGCCCGTGCAGATCGATGGTGTCTGCTGAGACACGTCCGTTGGCGTTGTTCTCACGGAAGATGAACTCCGACGCTTGCTTGTTGTATTCTTCCATCTTGCGACCGTGGGCTTTGCCTTGTTCGGAGAGCTCTTTGGCCTTGGCGCCATCGCCGCTGGAGTAGGCTTCTTGAGACTGGCCATTGAAAGTTGGTTAGTTGCTTGTTCCTTTTTGAATCTGGCGAGCGGTTGGGTGGTTGCGGCAGTGGTGGTCAATGGCGTACCCGTTGGAAACATGAGTTGCGCTTTGAAGCTTCTTGTCGGGCTAGGTTGCGGAGACGGTCGTATTCGGCCTCTGCATCTTGGCTCTGATCGTGACTGAAGGCTTCGGTAATGGTGTTGTTAGTTGATTAAAGATTGTGGCTATGAAGGTAGGAAGGGATCTTACCCCGAGGGCCCATGTAGGACATTTCATGCTCATGCATTTTGACGAAAAGGGGTATCTATCGGCTAATAAAGTGTGAAATGATAACAAGAGGGCGTATCTGAGACGGATAGTCAATCCGTACGGGTATAGTCTGTATGCGATGTCCTCGGTCGCAAAAAAAAAGTGTAGCGCAAAGGCGAGGCTGTGAAGGAAGGCCGATCGCGCGAGTGGATGTTGCAGTCCCTGAGAGATGGATGGATCGGGGATTGGATCCGTGGATGGATCAGTGGAGCGGCGATCGGATTGGCCGATGAGCCAGCCAGGGATCGTGGGCGGAATCGCACAGGAAAAAGGCTGGGCTGGACTGGAGATCCATGGTCTCTCTTCTTTCTTAGATAACTTCATGCGGTAGTAGGCGACAATCTATCTAGTTATCGGGTTGGAGTTGAGTTGTCTTACTCTGCACGGTCTTCCTCAATTCCTCCTTCGTATTGACAGGATGCACGGTCAGCCACCCCATCACGAGTCACAACGGACTGGGACACTTTAAGAAGCCTGTCAGCCCATTTCCGGGCTTACTGAGGATCCTGCAGGCCATCATCATCCACCAACCTTTTTGGCCCATTCGGCATTCTTGCAGCTGGACCCAGGAATCATCATCGTCACCTCCATCGGTTACTGCTGAGCACTGACCGTATTCAGCATTTCTCCCAGGCTATACAACCCAATCAGTAAAAGCGTCTACATAATAAGGTGTCTACGCCAAGGTCACCAAGCCAGTGAAGAGTGGAAACCAGGTCAATAGTCTGGCCATGCTCCATGCAAAGATGGGGATTAGTCCATTTCGAGCTGCCTACTTAGGTTATCGGTCGACAGCGGCAGGAGTTCTCAATTGAAAGAAAGTATAAGCAGTCGCGACCCTCCAGGGGATATACTAACTATGTATAACTTGGAGTTATTCATCATAATTAGTTAACTATAACCCAGACTGGCAGGAGAGGACATGTCAGACAGCTCGCCACGAGGCCACTTCCCCCAGTCAAGGGGGTGAAAGACGTGATGTGATGGTAAGGAGACGACAATCATCATTGAATAATAGCGTGGGCGGTAAAAGCAAGCGACTAAGGCGACTAGACAGTGGAGAAGTTGGTCTCTAGTCGAGTTGCAGAACCACGGAATTCGGTTACCGACTTCCATTCCAGCAAGCAACATCTGAGCAGATTCATCTTGCACGATTCAGGCGGGTCGTTCCGCCTGTGCATGTCCGGTGGTTGTGGGAGGCAGCAGTGGCTGAATCCTTCTTCATCCATGGGAGTTGTTGTCACAGCATGAGATGATGCGATGGATGAAGTGCATACTAAAACCAAGAGGTTGCCACTGGACGAAACCGCAAGCGCGTATCAGATGATATGGTGAGCAGCGAATGGGTCTTTGTGAATGCATGTTTCTCATCCAAATTCCTCCCCTTTGTGCGGAGAAGCGATCGACGGGCAGTTGCAGGTGGAGTTTTACCATACGGTACCTGGCCGTAGGAACAGGAACGACAATATTCCTCCGTACGCTAATGTCCATCCCAATCTTGAGGTCATCCACCTTTTTCTTTTCCACATGGTAGAGCTGCAGTAGTAGCCTCCGCTGGAATGCATTCTACCCCGTATAATCATCACTTCAGACATGCATGATTATTCCGCCACGTTTGATTCCTCAGAATGTTCTGCCTATGAATAGACACAAAATGCGTCACTGGCTCTATCAGCTTAAGCCTCTCAACTCTCAAGACATTCTGGAACAAGCCAACCGACCGCGTAACTTTGTGTGATGGCGCGGTGTACCTGGCGATCGGGCGCTGAGCGTGCCGGACCTCCACCGCGTGGTGGGCACCTGAAACTGCAGGCGCCCTTCCCAGGTTGCACCCTTACCAGGTTTAGAAACGGTCGGCTACTGCGAACTGTGGGCGATGCTTCTGCTGCTGCTGCTGCTGCTGCTGCTGCTGTCGTTGTCGTTGTCGTTGTGGTTAATATTGCTGCAGGACTAGTCTAGCCCGTTACTGATGAGCAGCAGAGACAAGAGTGATCTGGGATTAATTTCGTCACCAGTGCAGGTTAGCGCTTAGTATGATTTGGAGAGTTAAGCTGGCTGTCGCTTGGCATCCCGGTCGCCATGGCCATTGCCTACAGGTGCGCACTGCAGATCTGCGTCATCCGGAAATTAATTCATGCAACTGAATCATTAATCATAATATCTACGGCAACGACAGCCTTGAAAACTAGTTTGTAACTCTATATGGGATCCGGGTTTGGACCTCTTTGCTGTCTCATCACTGTATCATGCCTGTCTTATGCTGCCGACTGGTAGTATCTATGACGCTGTATTAGCAGTCGTAGAGGATGGTATGGCAGTAAGTAGTAGATAAGTACTAGTTGTGGTTATGTCTGGGATGGGCTTTTCGGGATTAACATGTAAGAGACTATGCCTTTTCTGAATTGTGTTGGTCTTACCATCGGGAGAAGAATCCCAGTTGGAGCACAACAAACTTCGTACAGAGCAGACTCCTAAGCAAGAGAAGAGCCGGTCGTCGAAAAAGGGGAAGGCTACTCATTAGAATCGCAAGGCCATTGGATCGTGCTGATTTTGCCTCCACTGCCACCCCTTACCAGTAGAGCCAATCAACAGTCGATGACTGGGTCGCCATCGCGTTTACCAAACGAGACGACTCCACTGCCCCTATTGAAGTGGTCCAGTTATCGTCACTCATAGGTTGGAACCGGGTCAGCTTATCGTTCCAGAAAAAAGCGGGAATGGTCAATGGCAGAAAGAAGAAGGAGAAAAAAAAGGAAAAAAAAAAGGTTTATAAAATTTTCATTGGGGAAAATCAAAATTAAAATCGAAAAAGAGAAGGAAGAACCTTTCCTCAGGCTTCACCCCCCCCCCCCGATACTCACTTGGTACTAGAATAGTTTACTAGTAGACTAGCAGCAAGCAGGTACCGGCATCGTAGTAGTAGTATCTAGTGATGGAGTCGGCGTATCAGCCTGCTGCGTTCTCTCTAGTTCATCCCCTCTTCCTCAGACTTCCCCCCAATCAATCCCTCCTTTTCCCGGGTTTCTGTCTGCTCTCCAGGCTAGTTCCCTCACACACGCTCTCTCTTCGCTCATCTTTTTTGGCACGCTCCCGGGACTGCCTCAGGATCTCATCTTGGCCCCTCTTTTTTCCGTTGCCCGACTCACTCACGCTGAAAGTCTGCCCCCCCTTACAACCTGTTGAGCTTAATCCTTTCCCTCCGGCCCTTCAGCCTCGCTCGCTTTACCCTCTCTCTCTCTCTCTCTTTTCTTTTCCCTTTCGATCTCTTGTCTCATCTATTCCCACACCCCCCCTCCTCCTCTTCTTCTTCTTCCTTTCTCCTCCTTTCAAACCCCAACTTTTTCACGGATTGGGATAGAACCAGCATCTCCCCTTAGAATCCCTGGGTTTACTTCGTCCATTTCTTTTCTTGATTATTTTACTTACTTCTCCTTTCGCTATCCTCTTCAATCCAATTTCTCTGGATTATCCTTGTCGAAATCACCACGATTGGTGTATTTCCCTGTTCCACCTTCCTTTTCGCCTCCTTTCCGCCTACTAGTCCCAGACGCTCCGCGCTTATATTTGATTTTTCCCCTGCCGCCCGTTCCTTTGCGTCCGCTTGGCCTTTAGTAATAATATCATCCCCGGTTTAATCCCATTCATTTCTTTCTCCTCCTCTCAGTTGGAGTTTGATATATCAAGTTCTCGAGCAAAGTGAGTGGCCCTTTTCACGTCGTTGTTCCCTTTTCCTTCTCGCGCTTCCTCTCAGCCCCGGACTCCCTCCCCCATGGTGGACGGTGCTCCCAAGCCTTCCGGTTGATGCATCAGCTGCACCTCCTTGCGTCAGCACGATCTCTGGGCCTGGGGGAGACTGCTGCCTTTTGGTTCTGATCCTCTTCCGACACTCAAAAATCAAATCGTGCATCGTTCATTCGATTGTTTTTCTTGGGGTGTCCGATAGTGGTTCTTTCCGCATACACCCACGGTCGACGGGGCAAGGGGCTGGCCGGATCCCAATTTTACAATACACGGAGAATTCGCTTCCCATGGCTGACTGACATCTTTCCCTGCGGACAGGCTCGTTACTCTTGACGTTCACTACCACCCGCCCACCCAACTCCGTTCCCCCCCGCTACACATTTAGACTTTTCATCCATCACTCCCACGTTCATTAATCGCCGCCAAAATGGGTTGTGGAATGAGTACCGAAGACAAGGAGGGCAAGGCCCGTAACGAGGAGATTGAGAACCAGCTCAAGCGGGACAAGATGATGCAGCGGAACGAGATTAAGATGTTGCTGCTGGGTATGCGCCTTTCCTCCCCTGTGCAAGTGTCGCGCTGGGACGCAAGATTAACGATGTTGTGAACAGGTGCTGGAGAGTCCGGAAAATCGACCATTCTCAAGCAGATGAAGCTGATCCACGAGGGCAGCTACTCCCGCGATGAGCGCGAGTCCTTCAAGGAAATCATCTACAGCAACACCGTCCAGTCTATGCGCGTCATCTTGGAGGCTATGGAGTCATTGGAGCTGCCTCTGGAGGATGCTCGTAATGAGTACCACGTCCAGACTGTCTTCATGCAGCCCGCTCAGATCGAGGGCGACAACCTGCCTCCGGAGGTCGGTAATGCCATTGGTGCTCTGTGGCGCGACAGCGGTGTTCAGGAGTGCTTCAAGCGGTCTCGAGAATACCAGCTGAACGATTCCGCCAAGTAGTAAGTGCCGCGTCTGTCTTGGGCTCGCCGAGAGCCTTTGTTAACCGATTCCTTAGCTACTTCGATGCCATCGACCGTATTGCGCAGCCTGACTACCTCCCCACCGACCAGGATGTTCTCCGCTCTCGTGTCAAGACCACCGGTATTACGGAGACCACTTTCATCATCGGTGATCTGACCTACCGCATGTTCGACGTCGGTGGTCAGCGTTCGGAACGTAAGAAGTGGATCCACTGCTTCGAGAACGTCACTACGATCCTTTTCCTGGTCGCCATCTCCGAATACGACCAGCTGTTGTTCGAGGATGAGACCGTCAACCGTATGCAGGAAGCGCTTACCCTGTTCGACTCCATCTGCAACTCCCGGTGGTTCGTCAAGACTTCCATCATTCTCTTCCTGAACAAGATCGATCGTTTCAAGGAGAAGCTGCCCGTCAGCCCCATGAAGAACTACTTCCCCGACTACGAGGGTGGTGCCGACTACGCCGCCGCCTGCGATTACATCCTCAACCGCTTTGTCTCTCTCAACCAAGCCGAGCAGAAGCAGATTTACACTCACTTCACATGTGCTACGGATACCACACAGATCCGTTTCGTCATGGCCGCAGTTAACGGTATGTTCCGTACACTCATCGAACCGTTTCATGCTCAGATACTGACTTTCATTAGACATCATCATCCAAGAAAACCTGAGACTGTGTGGTCTGATCTAATGACCGGTATATTTCGCTCGAGTGAGAACTTCTCGACATTTAGACCGTATGCTATGTGACTTGTAATCTTGTCTGTTTTGCTTTTTTGCCATACCATGTCGCACTCTGTTCTTTTTATTCCTCCCTTTTGAGAGATCCTGGCGTTGAGACATTCACTTGTCTATTTTACTAATTCCCTATTTCCTTTGTCTTGAAATGATATCTAGCCGGCTCTTTGTTATCAGCATTACCGATATCCATCCCATGACACAGAGCAGGAGTTGTTTTACCTTTGCACTTTCTATTCTGTTTCTCTTCTCTGTGAGCAGCGGGCCATCTGTGGTTCCATCGGAATTTATAGATTTATCAGAGCCCGTGCTTGCGTGTCTTCTTTCTCCTTTATTTAACTTATATGGGATTCCCGCGTCGTTTTCTGGTCTACCTCCCTCCGTGTTCGCGTTACCCTCCACCCCCTCTTTCCGCTTTTCCTTTTTCACCCTGTGTCTTCTTTCCCCAGCTGGATATCCCATCATCTCTTGGTGCCCCTCGTCCGCAATTCTGTGTGTAACCATATATCACGAATTCTTCCATATGGGTCTCACGTACATTGGAGGGCAATGAACGACGACAAGGCCACGGGCACGGGAGATTGACAGGGTACGCTGAATATCATGTCTTTTCCTCATGTGTCATGCCGGGTCGGTCATTGGGTTATAGTCAGAGTTAAGGATTGTGAAATATATCTTCTGTTAAAACTGTGTTTTCGCGTAGAGTCAGTGTACATCAGAAGAACTAATAAAAGTGTTGAATACAGTTGGAAAAGATACTTGCATAGGATAAAGAATATTTTATCAATTATCAGCATGTATCTACACCAGATGTCCAGGTTCTAGGCCCAGGTTCAGCTTCAATCTCCGCCCAGCGGATAATAATACTATCTACTAACTATTGTTACTCGGCACTCCCTTTCTCCCTAATGGACACTCACTTTCCCCAGAAAAATCAAAACCTCAGCTTCGGCCCCAAGAACACGATCAAAATAGCCACGAGCCACATCCCAAAAATCCACGCATACAACATCATCCGTCCCCACCAGCCCTTCCCCTCCGTCATCCTCCGCAACATGCCCATACGCTGCTCCGCAACCTTCATATTCCCCGCCGTGCGATCAATCCCATCCACCGCGCGAGCCAGCACCGACTTCTCCGCCTCCAGGGAGGAGTGGAACGTCTGCGCCGAAGTCTTCAGCTGCGTTGCTAGCGCAAGCATAGACGACGTCAGGTCTTCCTGTTCCGCGCGGTGAGATGAGAGCGTTTCCTCTGTCGCTTGTAATCGGGCATCTGAGGATTGCTGTGGGGAAGGAGGGTTCTTCTGAAAAGAGGAGCCAGTTGCGCTAGCTGTTGCGGTGGAGGGGGTGGTTGTGGGTGCGTGTGATCTGTTTCGAAGACTTGATGGTTGTTCTTGTGTCGGGGCGGGAGTGGCTTCTGGGGTTTGGGAGGGTGGTTCGGTAGTGGTTGATGTGGGTAGGGTGTTGTTGATAGGTGCTGCTGTTGTTGTTGTTGTTGTTGTTGTTGTTGTTGTTGTTGTTGTTGTTGTTGGTTTATTATCGTCCGGTACGATATCACGGTCCTTCTCTTCATGATCGAGTTGTTCGTCGGTGGTGCTGCCCTCATCTGGGGTGCCGAGGAGGTCTTCACCGTCTAGAGAGTCGTCTTCCTCTTCTTCGTCGTCGGATTGAGGTTCCGCCTGGGAAATACTGATCTCGTCGAGGACATTTTGGAGTTGCTTGATGATCTGCCGTTGACGTGCTAGGTCGGACTGCAGGTCGTTGCGACGGTCGGTGGGTTTGATCTGGGGGAGGGTGCGTTCGAGGGTTTGGAGGTTGGTGCGGGCGTATTCTATGTTCTTTGGTGGTAGGTTAGTCAATAGTCATGGTGGTGGCTGTAGCTGTATCTCGACTATGCAACGCAATAGGTAGTTTCGAGTAAAGGAAATAAACGAGGACGTACTGCTCCGACTCTCATGCGCTGATATTCTGACCGGCGTAATGGCTTCAGATCCGCGGCTGAGGAGAGGAGGTTATGTTCTAAACGAGCGATCAGGCGCGAAAGATTCAAAGCAGCGAGGTCCGGAGAGTCCGGGTACGAGGCGTAGGCTGTGAGGGTCATCTTCTCTGCTTCTTCTATATGTGTGCTGGGAGAAGACAAGAGGAGGGGAAGGTTGGGCATGAAGCTCTTCTGGCCATTCCATCATGTGGTGACGGGGAGGCCTGTAGATCTGCTGACTCATCCAGATCGAGCTGGGTGTTTGGGCTAGTCCTAATCAGGGAATCGGGGACTATAGAGCGTCTCTCGGGGTTCAGTTGTTGTCTTCTCTTGCGCCTGCTAGAGGGAGTTCGTCGCCTCCAAGAATTGCTTGCAAAGGTACCAGATGAACATCATCGTGGAGGTCATCAATCGTCATTGAATGCTAAGCTAGGTAGGTGCGAAAAAAATAATGAAACTAAAGCACAGTCTGCCACCCTTTTGCGCGCTGTCGTTCGGGACAGACGCCCTATGCTACTAGCCCGAAAATCCTCATAAGCGTCCCCGGGAGAGGGGGAAAAAAGAACAGGTAAACTGAACAGCGAAGCCCACAACTAAAAAGGGAAAGGGAAAAAGAGCAAGCCAAATTCCGGAGGATGAAAAGAACCCCACAATGCATCGTTCTCGAAGAGGAAACATCACACCATCAGTCAGCTAAGGCTAGCTGTACTCAATCATCAACCGTCGCCAGGAGCGCGTACCCTCCTCGTCTGCATCGTGCATGTATTGAACTGCGTAGCCGCATTTTTGGGAAGGATGGGATCCGATAAGGTTTGCGATACTAGGGACCCCCTGTTCGTGGCTAGTAGCAATAGGGTTGGCATGCCACTGAACCGGGGCAGGAATTCCGGGCTGGCGCAGAGGATCTGACACCACCATGGAACCATGAGTTGGCGCTTCAGATGACGAGTCACCGAGGCGATCATCCAACCTCACCGTGGGGGGTGTAGCTGAACGACGGTCGTGGACAGGGGCGGAGGCGGCACACCCGGGCGACAACGGCACCAGATGACCGTCGGTTCCAGATGCTTGCTTTGTCCAATGGCTCCGCTCGCGGGCCAGGACAGCCGCTAGATAACCACTAGAAGGTAAGGGAGACAGCTGGGAGAGTGGCTGCAGGACATCACAGGCTGAAGGGAATGGACCAACGCCCTGGGAGGCTGGGTCATTGAGATAGCCTACGCCGTAGCCGTGGCCCTGAACTAGGCCTAGGCCCACTGCTGCAGTCCTGCCGACGGGCTCTTCGCCACCACTACCCACGATACCACCACGATCGCACTTCTCGGACGGCGTAAAGGGTGGCGGGTCCATCATTTGCCTCTCTGGCGGTACGTAGGCGTAGGATCTATAGGGTGGTGGACGGCGAAGACGCTGAACTAGTAGGACCAGAATGCAGAATATGCTGGCAATCACGTATAGAATGGCGAAGGAGAGGATCCGAATGTCTTTTTTCGGGATTGACCATTCATTGTCCATGCAGCTCATTGCAGGATTCTCTAGATGTGCTGGGTCCTAGGGCCGCACACCACACACTCACACGCACTGCTTTGCTTTCTCCTGCTGACGGAATAATGCAGGTTTTGATTGTTTTCTAGGGTGTTTCAGTAAGTATTAGGAATATCTATTTTTGGGAGGGGAGAGAGCTGTGTAACCCGCGCAATTGGGAAATAGTGGTTATGTACCGGATATAGCTGGAACCTCTCTATAGTATAGTACTTCTTTTCCGTTCCAGGAAGGGGAAGAGAAGACGACAGCAGTAGGAGAGATAGAGTAAGAGATAGTCACGCCCAGACCAATTGTGGTAAGAGTAGTCGCAGAGTACCACAGATAGGGTTGTAAGATGGGTGGGTGGGAGGTATGAGAGAGGAAGTAAATGAAGAAGGACAATTCCAGTGGTTACAATTCAATAACCAACGACTTCTTTTCTCAAGGATGCGATCTGGAAGGTACTTATAACCAAGACCAGCATGGCGCAAGCACGGCGCATCAACAAATCAAAAAGAAAAAAAAATAATTCAAGCACCAGTCCTGGAACGATCCGGTGAGGGAAATTCCCATAGTCTGTTCTGATATTATAGTATCCAGGGAGAAAAGGAAAGGTGCGCGCGACTCCACCATGCAGGGACATCTACAGTAAAACAAAAATTCCCCGTCTAGTGGGATCGCAGCGTGGTTTTGAAGCTCGCATTGCAGGTGTGTGTGATCTAAGCTAACTACGGACAGGGAAGAGAGAAAGAGGAAGAAGGAAAGAGAGGGGGTTGTGTTGGGATAGTGTGAAAGTGGCCCCTCCAGGTCCAGCTCTGTCATGTTCAGCCACGAGAGCATAATGAAGGGGAAGACGAAACCCACGGGAATGGGGACTCCAACTGTAATGCACCCCCGTCATAGGACCAGGAACGTCTCAACGCAAGGCAGGTTCAGCTGTCCAGATGGAGCGCCACATTCAGGATATCGGCTGGCGGAGGAAAGATGGGGGAGAAAAAGGGCCCGCTAAACTCATTAGCGAATGTTCCCGACCCAGTGAAGATCAAGCAAACCAGCAAGTATCCAGTATCGATGGTATAAGGCGACCTGGACCAGGTGAGGCTCGAACACTAGACTGGTAGTCTACTTGTCGGGACCAGGAGATGGCGGACTGAAGAGAGGAGAGTCTAGTCTTGTCTTGAGTCTCTAATTTGTCCGCTGAAGCCAGAGTAAGACCGAGCGTGTTGAAGTGGAGTCTTTTTAGTTAGTAGTGCAGCGACCAAGACTGAGTGGAGAAAAGAAAGTCGTTGGACGGGATGGATATAACTACCAGAAGATATTCATGACTACTAGACACTGAACTGAACATATCGACTGTATGTATCGACTGACTAGCTAGTAGTAGTACAGTAGTATGGGTGTGGAACAATCTATAATTCTCCTTAAATGCAAATCAGATCAAAATCAAATCAATCTCGACTAGGGATACCTCCGGTCAGGTGCCCACGCGTATTATTACCTGTCCCACCCCAACATGTTGTATACTGTAAGTAGAATTCTTCCACCCCCCCCCCTGTAGCCTGTAAGATTACCGGCCTCGTGATCTAGAAGTGTAGAACTTCCCTGCTACTACTACAACACAACAACTCAACGCCTCTTTTCCCCTGTCCTTCCTCCTTTTCCTACTCATCCTTCCCTTTTTCCCTTCCTTAACTATTCACCAGTTTGTTTCATAGCTTCCTGGTAGTCGTCGCTCATTATTACCCTTCACGGCCCGTCCAGTTACCTCAGCTGCGCCATTTCTCCCGAATTTCCCCCCTCCAGAAAATGAAATTGATCGTCTGGATTGCCGCAGATCCAGTTCGACTTCCACGGTTTTCGGGTCCTGACCCGGTGGGGGGGTCATGAATATAGTTATCATCAGCTCGCCATTGCACAGTGGATTCATGCTTCATGAGACATTCATGACATCTGACTTTGGACAGGCTGCCACTTTTTTTTTTTTATTCCCTTTTCTCAACCCGCGCCTCCCTTGAGAATCCCCGAAGATGTGCGACTCAGGAACGAGATCCGTCTAGCGCCCCAGTGTGGCGGTGTTCTCGGCGATCAGTGTGGCGCTCAATTTGCCCTGTCTTTGCCCTCTGACAGGCTCACAGGCTCCTCGGCCGGCCTGGCCTACGGTACCAACTAAAACTAAACACGCCGCGTCATTTTTGGCCCCGGAAGCATTCTCCATTCACTGTTATTCATTCGCTCGTTCATGCTGCATTACTCGGATGGGTCTACTGGTACTATCACTGTCTATCGTCGGGATCTGATCGCTCTCTCCACCCCCATTTTCCAAGCCCACGACCCAAGCACCGGGTTCTCTTCAAACGCACATCGGCGATCTATTGAGTTTCCATATCCATTCCAAATACTACGCTGCATGCACCCCACCACAGGCGATATCCGAATCTGACAACTCTTATCCTTCCGGTTGGGTCGGCCAATGCGACTGGACGGGCAACTTGACGTCCCGGGCAAGTGCCGCTTGTACTGAAGGGCCCCGCGGAGTCGCCTACAGTTTAGCGGCGACAGAATCTCTCTGCATCTCCTCCTTAGCGCGATCGCGGAGCGCCTTGCGCAAGATCTTTCCTGAAGGATTCTTCGGAATCGCATCAACAAATACCACTCCTCCGGTAAGTCTTTTGATCGCAGACACTTTGCCATCCATGAACGCCATAATATCCTTCTCGGTGGCGGTTTGTCCGGATTTTAGTACAACATAGGCCCGGGGACTCTCGTCGTCATTTCTATTCGTCAACACCACATCAGCCCATTGCTCGCTAGATTGAACCCCTCTCATTAACCCACCTTGGAACACCAATGACTGCAGCATCGGCCACTCCGGGATGCTCCAGCAGAAGGGCTTCCAGTTCAGCCGGTGCGACCTGGTTGCCTTTGACTTTGATTAACTCCTAGCGAAACCATGCCAGTTAGCACCATGCAACACGAGACAGAAGCAATGTGTTGGATATTGGCCTGCATCGCTGGTGGCGAGTATGGGACTTTTTTTCCTTCTTGTTCTTTCAGCTCACCTTCTTTCGGTCAACTATGTGGAACTTGTTGCTGTCGTCAACATAAGCGATGTCTCCTGTCTTCAGCCATCCATCCTCCGTCTTGGTCTCCCTCGTGGCTTGCGGATTCCTCCAGTAGCCCTTCATGACATTCTGACCTCGAACCCAAAGTTCACCGCGCTGATTGCGTCCCAATTCTGTCACGCCATCATCGGCCATGATCTTCGCCTCACAGTTGGGATTGGGCTCTCCCACCGACGCCGATTCGCATATCTCATTGGGATCCCAGCCCATCATAGAGCACGTAGCCCTTTAGGCAAGAAAAAACAGAAACTTCGTTAGCCTGCAAATTCTTCGCCACTGAATATACAAAAGCAATGGGTGGATATCTTACTCGGTCATGCCCCATCCCTGTTTGAGGTTGATGCGTCCGGGTTCCCACAATGCCTCTACCTCCACACATACCTCCCTCCCTAGAGGTGCCGCGCCGCTGGATATACTTTCCACGCTACTCAGGTCGTATTTGCCGCTCTTGACTGCAGGGTGCTTGGCCAAAGCAACCGCCACCGGTGGAACCACGATGAGATCGCTGATGCGGAACTTCTCCGTGTACTCGAGAACTTTAAGAAAGTCAAATTTCGGCATGATATATACGGGTATATCGCGACTTAGGGCAGACGCGATGAAAATGTTCTGCGCCATGGCATGGTACATGGGAAGGAAACAGAGCCAGCGCAAGCGGGACTGCTTGTCCTTCCAATTCGGATTGAGGTAGGAGAGGTGGTTGAACTGTCTCAGGTTGGCGACATAGTTCTTGTGCGTGATCTCGACCCCTTTGGGTCTGCCAGTGGTGCCACTGGAGTAGTTCAGGGCGAGCGTCCGATCGGCCAACTCCGGGCTGGACAAGTCATCCCATGCGAATCCGCTGCCTTCGTCCTCAGACGCTATCAGGTCGCCCCAGTAGCGGCAGCCGTTGACGGCATGTCCTTGGCCATCATAAATGGCATTATTGAAGACAAACACCCGATCGCGGTTGAGTCCAGCCAGCCTCGCGGCTTCGATACCTGTGTCCAGACTGCCTTCGGCGCAGATCAGATATGTTGCACCGGAATCCTGCAACTGATAGGCCAATTCTCTGGCGACGTAAGATGGATTTGCGCCGGTGAATATGCCGCCAGCCATGATGGTGCCGAGAAAGATGACGGGGAAGAACAAGTCATTACCGGAATAAAGTAGTAAACGGTCACCCGTCTGTAGGCCATGCTTGCGCAAGCCTGCAGCAAATCGTTGACACCATAGACGGAAATCGTGGGGGGTGAAGTAGTGAGTGTCGGGACGAGCAGCCTCCGAGAAGCAGCGGTGCGTCTTGGAGAGGGGGTGAGTCGGCGAAGTCAGCAAAGCCGAGGCCAAATGGGTGTTGGGGATGTCAATCTGCCAGCGCGACTTGAATGGCATCTTTGCCAGCAATGCACGGTAAGGACTACTAGTAATACTGATGCTGAATAGATGGTTGGAATGTGTGAGAATGTACGAATTCGCAAAATGAACAACTCAAAGACAACTCTGTTGTGATCCCATGCAGTTGGACAACGAGTAATAACCGTCGCAGTAACCCTGTGTTCCCGGTTGGAAAGATGATATGTTGTGTGACTTAACTAGTGGTAGTAATAGTGACTCCTTACACCCAACCTTGCAGTATATAGTAGTAGTATACCAAAAAAAAGAAATTGCAACAATACCTCGTATCGACAGATTGAACCAAGAAGAAGAGTAAGGAAGGGAGAGAAGAGAGAGAGGGAGGGAGGGAAAGAGGCGATACAAGCCCAAATAAAAGCAGCAATAGTATATGATATAACATCTTACTACTCATTAACCCACCGAAAGTCAATTTTCCCTGATTCCCCCTCATCATGGATCCTATGCAGCCATACACCTTCATAATTCTCTTCTGTATTTCGGACCAGTCAAGTCCATACCCCCCAAAACAGGGGGAAATAACAAGGGAAAGGAACACAATCCATGCATCCACGTCAGCACATAAGCAACAACACAAAGAAAAAGAATAAAGGATAATGAATTAGAGGGACGCCCCACACTCATAATCCCTGCTTTTCCGGGATACCCGTTGTCAGAACGTCTTGAATTAATGAAGTATAGTTACTATTGCTTTTACACTGGGAAGGTACTTACGACCACCCACTACTTACTTACCTTAGTAAGGCGTGTGGGAAATAATAAAAAGAAGGTGAAAGGAAGGGAAAGCTTTCCCCGCATTTGGGATTATTGGAGAAGGAAGGAAGGAAGGAAGGAAAGTTAAGAACCGAGCGAGCCAATCGGTTGTAGTGGTTGGTTGTGCTCCTCGGTTCATCGAATGTGTCTGGACCGAGGGAATAACCAAAATTGAGGAGAAAAAAAGAGTAAGGAGGGAAACAAGGTATGCTGGGTGATAGTGTGTCAGTGAGAGCAGGAGCGGGGGTGTGGTGTTCCTATTAGGGTAAGTATCTACAGTCAGTTGGGGGAAAGATCTATCTACCTCGGATGTGGATGTATGATGGGTGTATAACAGTGCCTACTTTGGGGAATCGATGGAAGTACATATATATGAATGAAAGTACACGTAGTGGATTATCCTACGTGATTATCACATCACATCACATTGCTGGATGGAGCACTGTTGAGGCATAGTAACTACTAATAGTTACTACTAAGTAGTACTGATTAGCACCCCTGTGCTTGAGTACTAGTCTGTTTTTCATGTTCTGTATAGTATGGAGATTATTATACCGACAGAACAAAGCAAGGTGTGACAGGGATACCACGGAAAAGGAGAAGAGGTCCGCGGCTATGTGCAGTGCAGTCAGATCTATAAGTTAAATGGCGACATGCATGCAGACGTTGTGGAATGATGGATCTATATAAATGGTATTCTTGAGACATACTGAGACAAGTCACTGTGTACCTAGATTGATGCATGCTGGCTAGATGATGCTGACTGAAAACGAGGAAGAGAATATGGAAGAAATGGGGCATCATCACTATACGAAAAGAGAGGGAGAACCAGGGAGAACCAAGGAGAAAAGATAGAAAATCGATTAAACCATCCCCCGCACACCTTATAAAATCAGCTATGAACACCCATTGTCACTTTAAATGTCATTATGCCTCGTCACCATCCCCTCCTAGGCACGCCAACGTTGCCTTGAGCTCACTCACAATCTTCTCCTCCAGCCGACTTTGTGCGCCCGATGCTGCATCGACCGGCTTCTGGCGCGACAACTCCAGCTCCTTTTCACTCGTCGCAACGATCCGCGCCCGAAGATTCTGCTTCCGTTCTAGAAGTTCTTCGATATCCTCCTTCACTTGAGCTTTGTCCCACTTGAGCTCCTGGATCGACTGCGCATCAATGCCAAGGCTGGCTCCGGCTTCCCGGAATCGGGTCAGGATGTATGAGATAAGCGCCAGTGAGTACGCCTCGGAGACCATGCTCAGACTGATTCGGGAGACCGAGGCTGTCGTGCGACCGGCAGCAAAAGAGTCAGCAGCACGTTTGAGCTGGCCTTCAAACTGGTTGAGGAATGCCGCTACCTCGGGGGCAGTGCGAACGACGTGGTAGAGAAGGTTCAGGCACAGAGGAAGGATGCCACCGGTCCAGATGGAATACAGGCGGGGTACAGGGTCAAAAGGCCCAAACCCTTTCGAATCGCGCAGGATGTTCGTGAGGCGGCAGGTGGAGAGCCGAGACAGAACCACCTCAACGGCCAAATGTTCTGCCAGCATAGGGATCGTAGACATTTTAACCAGGAGTGACATGCTGAGCTCGCCGTATACCGGATCGCCGGCCACAGCTAGCTGATCAGCCCACGAGAACAATGATGTCGCCAGTCTCGCGGTGTCATTGTCGGCCACATGGTAGACGATGTGCTCAAAGAGGCGGTCGACGTGCTTCACTTGCAGTGAGCTCTGCAGGATCGCGATCAGAATCGCGAAATCTTTCGGCGTGCACTTGTCTGGTTGATCATGTAGGTAGGTTGTCAAAGCCTTGAACCCTTGCGCCACGACCACCTTCACAATCTCAACGATGTTTCCCAGGTCGGATGATACCTCTGGTTTCTTGGTAATTGTTTCAGGTGCTGTTCGAGAGGGTGAATCCAGATGGAACTGGAGAGCGAGGAAGAGGACATTAAGAAGGGATCGGTAATATTCCGTGTCATCGTTGATCAATGCGTCCTCGTAGGTGGCGCGTCGCGTGCGTAGAGCATCCCATACGATCTTGAGGAGACCGAAGACTTCAGCACCCTTGGCTCCGATCGCAACCAGTCGCTGGAGTAGAGCTTGGGCGAATTCTACCCGGGTTTGTTGTATCCTCTCGAAGATCGCTTCCTGCGGGACGCCTCGGGTGTTGGCTTCCAGGCAACTTTGCACAACAATGGCCATCGACTTTTGAACCTCACGGTCTGCCATGAAGTCCGCACAGTGTTCGACGGCGAAGAATTTCCAACTATGAAGAAGGCTCTGCGAAATCCCAACAATTAGAACAGTTTCGTTGATTGATTCAGTCAGTACTTACCACTTGCGCCTCGACCAAAGACAGGTTCAGATTGGCCCGCTGGAATTCTTCGGCGAATCCCTGGTTGCGACTTCCAGTCCACGCGAAATCATAAGAAAGGAGCTTTTTGCCGAGTTGGATGTCGTAGTAATAGTCTTGACCAAGGTAGCGAGACTGCAAAGGTGTCCGCTTGAAGTCCACGAGCTTGCACCCGGGATACCTCATCTCGAAATTCTTCTTCAGATTGGCATGCAGCGAGGCATTATAACCGGACACATCAACCGCATCCTTGGAGTACCAAGACACGAGCGGAATTAAAGTCTTGTAAAATCCTCGGTCCTGCATCTCCTTGGCTGAGTGCAGATACACGGCGCAGATATCTGCCACGACAGCCGCAATTCGGGTAGCAGAGATCTGTTCCTTGATGGTCAGGGACGATATTTTCAGCTTCGAGACGTAGTTCACCAGGCTGGTGAAGAAAAGGGAATGCTTCTTCAATTCTGGGGTTGCCCATGGCCAGTTTTCCTGAGCATGGGAGACAAATTCCAGCAGCGCGACAGCCAGTTCAAGGTCAAGCTGCTCAATATGCGACAGCATATCAAGTGCTATCTTCAGGAATGGGGTACCCCTCATCGCTGCTCCCTTGTCTGTGTCGGTTTTCCTCAGCGACTGGCGTGGTGAGGTGCCCGTAAGGATGTAGACGGCCAGCCACTGTTGGCGCTTGCTGACAAGGGTTGTTAGCAAGTGCCATATACTCAGGCGCAGGTGGGAATCGCTGAGCGGCTTGTCAAACTGCGAAAGGACATCGAGGAAAAGACATGCGGATTCCGCTCCCAAGTGACCGACCAAGGACGGCGGCTCATTTGCCGGATCCAAGGCTGCGCCTCTTATGAGAACATTGAGCAGTGAAGCCACCGGGAGCCGATAGGCATCATCCAAAGCATACAGTTTGATCAGAGCGGGTGTAGCCTTGAACAGTTGATCCTCCAGCAAGGATAGCGGCTGTTCAAGGAGCTGGGCCGCCTGTAGCAGCCTGATCGAGAGGTTTAATGTCGCTAACACCTGCCTTTGCACAAATATCATGTAGCGGAGATACAGCGTCGACGGTGTCTGAAGGCCATCGACAATAAGGCGAAGGATGGAATTGAAGGGCAAATCCGCGGCCGACTGCGGCCGTAAGACACTGAGAAGATAGGTTGCTGACGAAGAAAAGACGCCCGTGATCTTGGTGTCCAGCTTGGTGATTTCGTTCGTGCCATAAGCATAGTAGAGTATCCTCTCAAACACTGTTGCGAGTTTCGTGCTAATTTCAAGCTTCTGCTCCGGCACATTGAACCTCCAATTGCCATTGCTATTGTAAACCTCCACCATCACCCGCACAAAATTCAAAAGAGTTCCTCTCAGCATATGCGAGGGAACGCCCGCAGTGAAATCGGAAGGAAGAATGGCCTTCCCATTGGGACCATTGGGGCTCCTTCTTAACACGGCCCGAGAAGCAGCGTCGTCAACAACTGCTTGGAACAGACGGACACAGCCCAGCAAGAAGGGATAATCTCCCGATGTCACTTCTGTAGCTGAGACAATCGCAGTCAGGATGCCACCCTTTCCATCAGAGCCCAGCAAGCTGCTGCGGGAAAGTAGGGGCCACACTCTGCCTGGCAGAACGTCGATGAGGACGCAAATGAATCGCAGACAGGCAATTGTGGACTCCATCACAATATCAGATCCTGTTCTGGGTCCGATGTTGGGTAGATTGCGCTCAAAAATTTCGAAAACAAGCGAGATAATGTCGCTTTGGCGGGATAGCCCATCGCTCGCGATCTCCAAGATTCTCTTAGCACTTGAGCCATCGCCGCTTTGCGCTTGCGAGTCCTTTGCTGCAAAGAGAAGATCGGCCAAAAGACCTATCGAATCGGCCACAGAATCTTCTCCATAGCCTGCTGAGAAACCCCCATTCTCATTCCATTCCTCTAGCCAGCTGCCGAGATAGCTCAGGCAGGAATACTGATGGTGCCACATGACCACCGCAGGCCTTGACTCGGAGACGACTTGTCCAATGGCTGAAGACGGTATCTGCGAAGAGCCCGTAACAACCAGGGCGTTACTGGTTTCCTGATCAGTAAGCTGCCTTCGGGGAGATGTGCCAACCATGGGGAGTGACTGAACAAGGGTGACGAAGTTTGCGTTCTCATCCTCGCGAATCGTTTCGTAGCCTTGGAATCCGTGGGGTACGACCTGCGTAAAAGAATCCATGTTCTCCAACTCTCCAAGAATAACCGGAAGGCCTTCCTCGTTCACCAGATCTTTGCTGACCAATGCACGGCACAGCTGCAGGAAAGGCACTGTTTCATAGGGGAAGCGAGAACGCGCTATGCGGAAAATGTTGTCCATCAGAGCATCATCCTTAACAAAAACCGAGCGCGGGTCGCTGATGGGGTTTAACGGGGCACCGTGAAACCACTGCGATTCTACCGGTGAGCCCTGGAGAACTGCCAGTGTAGACCCAACGATCTCAGGGGAATAGTCT